GAGACTTAAAAGAAAAGAGCCACCTTTTTTTAATCGTTCTTCAGCATGGACCCTGAGCCTCACAGAATAAGGATCTTATCTTGGAACATTGATGGACTGGACATGGGAAATATCAGAACCAGGGCCAAAGCTGTCTGTGAAAATATTATGAGGTATGCCATCCTAGCTGGTGCCATTTCACAAGTCTCCTGTATAAATATTTCTATAGATATACCAAAGAGTACTCCAATAAAAAATATTTTGAAATTATCAGATCTCTTTCCCTATGAAGGTATAATTGTTCTACCTAGATTGATACAGCTTCTCAGGCACTGTTATTGAATGCAACGAGATTAACTGATTAACACGTCTCCTAGTTTCTGATGTGCTCATATAACCACCAGCTTAATTGTCTGCATTCTGCTCAATGCCAGGGGAGGGGTGTTATTCTGTAATGTCAATGGTAAATCACTGTCATTGTAACAAAATGCATGCACTTACTATGAAAAAATGAATAAGCATGAACTGATACAGTGTAGCTTCATAAATAATATTTGACAGATAGATAAATGAATTAAGGAATAAATTCAATTGGACCAGAAGTCATATTTTACGTGATATAATTTTATATGGATAAACTGGCTGATAAATAAATAGTGAAATGATAGTTTAAATCCTTGTTGCAGGGAGACCCCCGATGTAGTATTCCTTCAAGAGTTTGTCACTGAAATGTCAGACATCTTTGACAAGCACTGTGGTCCCAGCTACGAACGGTTCCAAGCAGCCAGTGATGCTTACTACACAGCCATGTTGCTGAAGAAACAGACAGTGAAATGTACAGAGACCAAAGTGGTTCCTTTCTACACTAGTAGGATGGGGAGGGCACTGCAGAGTGCACAGGTTTGTCCAGTGTATGTGCACTCATGTGTGTGTGTTTGTGCAGAGGTAGATTTATGCTGTCTTCTGGGTCTTTTGGAAGATGGTCAGTTTTTAGGTTTATATTGATGGTTATCTATTATTTTTCTGATGTAAGACGGTCAGAAATGGAGGCTGGAGCAACAAAGATAATTTGGTACATGTCACTGTATGTTTGTGTGTGTTTGATATTTGTGTGTGAAGATTTTGTGCATGTGTAAGCATGTTTGAAAAAGATGAAGAGATGAAATAAAATAGTGAATAAAAACAGACAGAAAAAAACTCCACAATAAACAGCAATTTTGAAAGAGAGAGAGAGAAATAGCTGACACCAAAATTAAAATACAGCAACACTTCAAGCAAACCTTTATATTATATAATTTCAGGCAGAAGTGAAAGGCATTCCAATGACACTGATCACCAGTCACCTGGAGTCCACCAAAGATCATGCTGAAGAGAGAAAGAGGCAACTTACTGCAGCTTTTAGGGCTGTCAATGAGGCAGAGGGCAGCAGGACTGTAGTGTTTGGTGGAGACTTGAACCTACGTGACCCAGAGGTACATCGCACAAGGGCAGGGGCAGATCCAGAGATATTTTCTTATAAATTATCTTTGTTGGACACATTTTTGGTGAAGCAAGCCAAGATATGTACTTACTCCTTGCATATATTATTTGAAGTTTCCAGTCTGGAAGTTCAAACTGCTTATACTGTATGTTCTAGTAATACGTACAGAGCATTTCTTGTTGGGGCAAAAGTGATTTCTTATATATTTTAGTTTGCAATATTTGCAAGTCCATTAATTTGCAAGATGAAAACTTAACAGTTATAATACATGAATGAAAACTGGTTCTCTTCAGTTTGTTTAAATAATTTCGCTTTACTATTTTAAAATGGTATTTTATTAAAATATTTAAATGCTTTATAGCATATTTTGATAACCAGCAGTACTTTTACTGTTCAATATTGGGA